ACATATGGATCAGCTGGTACAAATCAGAAAACCCAGGTTGATATGTTTGAATAGTAATATCAGATTCTTAGCAAGCTTATTAGAATCCTCAGTTACTACAGGAAATTCCTTTACAATGGCTTATAACTCTGCTTTTGTCCAGGGGATGTAAGAAATGTGAGGTTTATTAGGCTCTCCAGAGGGTTTAATCTTAAGTGGAAAAGTATTGATAGGTTCTGAGGAAGAAGAGGGTGAAGGAGATTTGAAAGGAGATGTCGCTGGGGTTTGAGTTGAAGATGGGGAAGGTGACAAAAAAGAGCAAGATGGTGTTGAAGGTGAGAGGCAAAAAAGGGCATGATGGTGTCGAAGGTGAAAGAGGCGATGAAGCAGCAGTGGGAGAAGGGTAAGGCAGTGTTGTAGACAAAGAGCACGAGGTTTCAGACGCCATCCTGCCTCTTTTAGCATTTTTAACTTTTTTTAACTTTGAGACTTTATTTTGTAAAACTACAACTTTAGATTTGCAGTCCTATTTGGCAGCCACACTCTAAATGTGCATTCCATTCCTCTTTCTCAGTTACAGCACTGTTACCATCCAATTTAGTTTTAAGAAATTCAAGTTTGGAAATCTCAGAAGTTCCCAAAGTGGCCACTGATTTCTAGGATTACTCTTAGTCAGATCTGTCCATTTGGTTAAATACGTGCACGAAAATTCTCTGCGGGTTGTGAGCATGTGCTCAGATGGTGTCCCTGGAGGAGGGACAGTGTTAGAAGGCTTGGACATTCAAGATCCCATTTTAAACGCTGGGCCCCAAACAATTCACAGCTCGAATAACCTGCAGGTCTTCAGCTCACCTCACCCTAGAACAGTCTGATCACTGAGAACCAGGCCAAAGGCTAAAAGCCAGTTCAGGTGAATAACTCTTAGGGAGTATAAGTTACAAGTTGAGCTGGTGCTGGGCCAAAATCAGTTCACAACTCAAGCAAACCAGGAATCTTCGGTTTGCCCCACTCTCACTCTGGAACAGTCTAGTCTGATCACTGGGAATCAGACCGAAGGCTAGAGTCAGTTCCAGGCAAATAACCAACTCCCAGGGAGCTCGGTTATCGGCTGAGCTGCGTGGCACTCCGTTAACTTTTTCACTGAGACAGCACGATCTAACATCGGCTCGGCTAAACTGACCAATTTCAATAGAAATAACCTCTTATCCCTAAAGGGACGTTAGGCGAAGGCCAATTTTTTGTCTCAAAAAAGAAACAGAGCCTGCTTACTGAAGAAAGCAAGCCAACGTGCCACGAGTACAGACAAATAGGCCTTAAAGCATTCACACACACACACACACACACACACACACACACACACACACACA